GTATATATATATATATATATATATATATATAGAACTACAAAGCTCACCAAATTGTAAGGCATAATACATCATATTTTTTCAACACTTTAATTTTTTTTTTTAAATAAAATTAAAGGAAGGGGTGCTGACTAGATTTTGACCATTGACCGCCATCTTTGACCGCCGCCTACCGCCGTCGGCCACCGCCGGCCGCCTCTGCCGCTCTACCTCCGCTCCGGCCGCCGGTCACCGCTTCTGCTCATACCAAATCTTATTACTTTTAAAATCATTTTAATTACTACTCCGTAATTGGTATAGTAACAAAAGTTACAAATTATGCCCCTCCATCCCACGCCGCACATGGCATGACCTGGCTTTGTCCTTTTGTCCGTGATGATCCTCAAGAGATAACCTCCAAATATGAGTAAAATATATTTCAAATAACAGTTTGCACTGTGATATTGATTCGATATATCATGACATATTATTGTATTTTTTGATACTATATAATGATATTATTGACAATTTTGAGATAAAAAACATGGTGTTATTATATCGGTACATCACCTTTGTAACCATTGTTGAAACAAATGTTCTAAGGATCCGTTTGATACACGAAATTCGAAGTATGAAATTAAAATTGAAGACAACAATTCCAATTTTGCTGTTTGGTAGCACAAGAATATGCGGATTTAAAATTGACAGTGCCAAAAATGAATCAGAATTGGATGATTCAATTCCATCCAAATCAATTCCATAGAATTTCAACTCTCAATTCAATTCCAATTCTATCAATTCCGTGTACCAAACGAACCCTAACAGAAATTCACAGACATGAATTGGAATAATGTGTGATGTCTCAAATATCTATGAAAATGCCAAGTGGTGTCAAAAATATTACACAAATATTATTTTTTAAAATATGAATTATGCTTAAGGTACACCATTTCTTACATTATTTTGATATCTTTCTTCTTATGGATATTGGCAGCCATTGAATAGTGCCGGATCTCTATATAGAGGATGGTGTCAAACTCAAAAGTTGTCTAAAAAATGTAATACAATGCCAATTTCCCAAGAATAATATTCGGGGCACACAACTTTTGACACAAATGTTAACACCATCCTTCTTAGAGACGTGGAGCAAAGAACACACCTTAAGACGCCATTTTTAACACCGTCTATACATGGAAGATGGCTATATTAGATGTTCCGTCTGTTCATTTCTAGCATCAACCCGTAGGAGTCAAAAGTGTTTCCGAGAAAGACCATGCCATGCCGTTCAGGACTGAAATGAACAATATATTATATGTAAAATCATAGCCACAAAACAAAAAACAAATGTAAATGCATACTCTCTTTATTCTCTGAAATATAAACGCAAATCATTTCTTTTCCCCGCGTAAACAAAATCCTTGCTACCCGTAATGGGAGGAGAACTGCAAAAAAGAAAGAAAAGAGGCAGAAAAAAAAGTTTGAGACTTGAGCGTATTAACTATATGCCTTATAACTTGAGGAAAACAAACTCCTCAACGGCAGGGATCTCGCCGATCCTCTTCAAAGATTCCTTGCTAGGCTGTTCATCAACTCCAATCGCCATGACAGCATGCTTCCTTGGGGCAATCCTCCCAACACTCATGAAACTCACGTTCACGTTCTCCTGCCCTAAAATGCTGCCCACTTTTCCAATCATGCCTGGCTGATCAACCTGCCTGCACAGAATGATACTCCCTTCCAGGCTTACGTCCACTTCAAATGAACCGACCTTTGTCAAATGCGGGACCCCATCTTTGACACGACCCTCCACTTTGATCTCCCCTGAGTCCGAAATGGCACTGGCAAACTTCGATTCCACGTTTGCAATCTGAACCTGAATGAACTCAAGAGGATTTTCCGGGGAACCATCTAGAATGACCCGTTCTTCAGCTATGCGGATTCCTCTTTGCTTGGCGCTGAAATCTGCATTGACTAAGTTGACAAAGACGCTGGAGATGGGTTCAATGAGACCCTTTGTTATCATGGCACGGAGCACCCTGGTGTCTAGATCATCAGGACCTCGCGCAGAGCCATATGTCACTTTCACAGATTTCACACCGCTTCCCCCTGTTACTAGCTGTACAGCTAGTCTACCAAGTTTTTCAGCAAGAACAACAAATGGCTTCAGCTCTGTCAATACCTATATACACAAGATTGGGAGGTCAATTTGAGATAAATAAATACAATAACTGAGGCATTATCAGTTGCAATGAGGATGCCACTACGTCCCAAAAAAGAGCCATTTTCAAGAAAATACAACTTTTTAAATGCTAGTACAGTGCAATGAGGATGCAAATATCGTTGATTCTAGCTACACTTGGTTTAATTAAATTTACCTAGTTGACTACTCAAGTTGTTTGTTTGAGACAGGAAGATCTCAAATATAATGAAAAATAACTTTCTTTTGTTCGAAATGAACTCTTGTTTTGGGGATGTAGAGTAAGACTTATAAAAGGTGAAAGTAATTCGGGGACCGGGGTATTCATATGAAAAATGTTTTCAGAAGTTTATTTACTTCCAAATTTGAAAATATCATGTTTCACCAAGACCATCTCAAAAGCTGAAAACACAAACAGCCTAGGAAAGCCTAGCACTTAAGTGGGAAGTTGAAGAGCATATCCTCAGTAAGATGAAGATGGGATTACTAGTGTAAAAGAAAGAAACAATAATTGGAAACTGAAAATACCTCAGCTGGGACCATGGGTGCATTAACAGCGGTTGCAGCAAGCTCTCCTTTAAGAGCTCCAACTACTGCTTCAGCAATTTCAATAGCAACTCCTTCCTGAATAAAATTTTGAAATAACATTTCTTAACGTATATGATATGGGATGGGTTTTCAAGATAGCTAGCATATCATTAACTAACCTGAGCTTCCATAGTACTAGCACCAAGATGTGGAGTTACAGTTACTTTATCATGCTGTACCAATTTACTGTCTTTTGCTGGAGGTTCCTCGGTGAAAACATCAAGTGCAGCCTAAGATTTATTTAAAACAAAACACAAACCCCTATGAAAAAAATGACTGAAAAATCCCCGCTTTAAGGATGATGATCATGAAGTACAACAACAACAACAACAACAACAACAACAACAACCAACCCAGCAGGATCCCACGAGAGTAGGGTCTAGGGGTGTCTACACAAACCTTACCCCTTCTCGGAAGTAGGAAGACTGTTTCTAAGAGACCCCGGCTCAAGTAACATAGATAGTACAAAAAAAGAGTAGACACATAAAGCAGAGAAAGTACAGAGCACAAAAAAGCAAATAACAAACTAATGATCATAAATTAGTACCTGTGCCACAATGCCTGCATCAATGGCCCTCACCAATGCTTCTTCATCAATGACTCCACCACGAGCAACATTGACAATCCGAACACCTTTTTTCATCTTTACGAAAGTTTCATCATTTAGCATCTTAGATGTGGTAGGAGTGAGTGGCATGTGAAGCGAGATGAAATCTGCAGATGCCATGGCTTCATCAAAACTCACAAGATCCACTCCTATGGCACGTGCACGGTCAGCTGGGGCATATGGGTCGTGTGCTATTACATGCATACCGAGCCCCTTGGCACGTCGAGCAACTTCAGAACCTACCTTGCCAAAACCTAGCACGGCAAGCGTTTTTCCAACAAGAGATACCCCAACGTACTTGTTTCTCTCCCACTTTCCTGCATTGAAATTTTGTATTTGTCTAAAAATGACAAGCATGAATGAAAATTGTACCAGCAAAACAAAGATGACAAATTCTTAATAGTGATTCCTAAGTTAAAGTCTAAGGATTTGTTTTTCAGCTCTCTTTAAAGATGATATAAAATAGAAGAGAATATATTGGATTCACAGTGATGTGAGATATAATTAAAATAAATAAAAAATTCCAATGATGAAAGAACTGTCAGGCATGGATGAAACAGATAATGCATGAATAAACATCATAGCATCAATCAGCTTCACATATGCTCAAAATGAATATTTCTATAATAAATATCAATGAGTATATCAAGCAAGAGTTATGAGGGTGTTTGGAACTGTGTTAGGGAGCAACTTTTGAGCTTCAAATTTGTCCATAAGCAATTTTGTGTGTTTGGCAAATCTATTTCAGCTTATGGCATATGACTTCAAAGTGCAAAATGGGCTCCAAAAGTGCTTTTTGGCAAAGTTGGGATTAAATGATTTTGGCTTCTGCGTTAGGACTTCTCCTTTTCTAGGAATCCACTGCAGTGCCAAACAACCTCTAAGGAATTGTTTAGTACGAGGAAACTAATTATCAACACAAAGGGTTTTGTAAAGAAAAATAAAATCCATAACATTTTTGGTAACCTCCAAGAAAATATTTTTTTTGGGAAGCCATATTCTCTGGTGTCTATAATAGCTCAAAAGTTTACATTACATGCCTGTGAAGAAGTACTACACAACACATATATCCAAATCCCAATTAGGTGGAAACTCGATAATTCCAATTAGGTCGAAACTTGATCACTTCAGTCTCAGTGCAGTTAAAGATTTTTCTCTCCTCGAACCCCTTTGACTACTACAACTACTACTAAACACAGGAAAATAGCCAAGTGGTCTATCTGGACAATTGTTTCCACACAGCCTGAACAAATATGAACTAAAGAAAGATTGAAGCTCACCAAATTCTGAATTACTCTCATGCGATTTATTCTTTACTACACAATGATTTTTTCTCATGCTACTAGCAATTGTTTGAGGATTCCCATATAGCGTAAGAGGGAAAAGGTTATGTTAGATTCTTCTTTATAATGAAAAAAAGTAGTAAAACAATCACGTCTGAATATTCCCAGCTTTCTCATAAGCAAAACATTACTCTAAAACCTAACTATTTTGGCTTCCTGCAAATCATTGGGAGAAACATACTAAAAAAATATAAACTTTATAAAAGACTCAAAAGTCAACTGACCAGCTTTGACGGAGGCATCAGCTTGGGCAATGTTTCTGGACATAGCTGTGAGCAATGCTATGCCGTGCTCAGCAGCAGCCACCGTATTGGCAGTGGGCGCATTCACTACTAGGCATCCATGTTCAGTGGCTGCCCCGAGATCTACGTTGTCTATCCCTACACCAGCCCGACCTACGACCTTGAGGCGTCCGTGGGAAGACTCGAAGACTTCGCGGTTGACTTTGGTGGCGCTGCGGACAATGAGAGCATCGCAGAGGGAGATCTTGGTGCAGAGCTCCTCCGGGGTGAGATTGTAGGCGCAATCGACATTGGCGAACTCCTTTAGGAGTGTGAGCCCAGCCTCGCCGAGTTTCTCAGCGACGAGGACGGTGGGCTTGGCGTCCATGGCCAGTACCATGAAGCGCGAGGCATGGCGGCGGGGAAAAGATATGGATGCGAGGCGGGACGCCGATGGAGAGAGGAGCTGGCTCTGACCGGAGAGGAAGGAGGAGTACTGCCGCGAGCCTTTCGCGGCGAGTATGGTGGAGGACGAAGAATAAGCCGCCGCCATTTGCGTTGAATTTGGGTCGAGTGGGGAAAACCAGATGCGGAATCAGGGGATTACGAAATGGGAATAGATATTTTATAGTACTTTGTAGTAAATGAAATTAAAAATAAAACATCGAAAATATATCAAAATAGAAATTTTATATTTTTATTTTTGAAATGTTGGGGATAATAACGATACCTCGGATCAATCGAGAGTCGTGTACAACATTTTCAAATTGAATATTTTGGTTGTCCAATTCAAAATTCAATCTGATAAACTCAAAAGTAACAAGAACAAGTATGAGATTGTTCTGAAATTTCGAACCCTATTTTTACCAAAGATTTCCGGGAATATATAGAATTGCGGTGGAAAAGAAAAGACGCGATCGCGTCTTTCATCTAAGATGCACGATCCATTGTGCGAGATTCGAAACAAATGAGTGATATCTTTTAATGAATTTTCCTTTAAAGAAAATTAGAATTGACCTGCCAGCTAGGGGCTCTGCCCCTTGGACCCAGCAGGGGCTGCCGCTCCTTGAACTCTGCTCGGGGGCGCTGCCCCCGAACCCCCGCTAAGGGGGCTCTACATCCTTGGAACCCCCGTTAAAACGGGACTTTTATCCTAAAGAACTCAAAGAAGCGTGCGCTCCGCACCACTAAACTTTTTTGATGAGTATTGAGATATCATTGATCATAGTTTTTCCAATTATACTAATATATATAAGGCGAAATAGAAGTTAAATTGCATTTACACTATCAATCATAACCGTGTATATTATGTAAAACGCACATTATCACAATGTAAACTCATATTTAAAGAATAAAAATATGAAACTCTTTTTTTAATACTTTTTTATATTTTCGTCTACTTTTGGATTCGTTTCGGTGGGGAAGCCAATATGAGAATGAATCACTCTCATTTCATCTTTCATTCTAATCCAAAGTCTCTCTCTAAATTATCAAACAAGTGTCTTCTTTTTTGTTGGTTTCCTCATTGAATAAAGCTAGAAGTGTACTAAAATGGTGTACTCTATTTTTATATCAAGTAGACACATATACTAAGTGTTCGTGATTACAGACATTTTGTATTTGTATTTGTTTGGTGTACAAATAACTACCCTGACATGGCCCTTGGTAATTTTAGGAGGCCAGCCATTGGGTCTTTAGAGAATTTGATTGTACCAATTCTTGCTAATCGTCTCGTGCCAAGAAAAGTTTCCCCTTTCACATAGAAAAAAAATTAAGAATGACATGAGACATCTACCGTGCTCTGTTGGTAAAAATTGACAGCTCTAGAACCATCAATTTTACCAACAAAGCACCGTAAGTGCCCCAAAATGCCAATGACATTTAAGGTCAAAATTGACTCAGGTCAAAAGTTCCTTGCCGAAAATAATAGTGCATAGTTCAAAATGATAGAGAAGAAAAGAGATAATAAAGACCATAATTTTTCTTTAAAGACAAAAAGTGAAAACCCTTTTTAATTACAAAAAAAAAAATGTGGAACTTTTTTATGGGACGGAAAGAGTAATTGTTATTCCAAGAATTACCAAGTATCTTATACTCTTCTCTCCAAATAAAAGTATAAAAAAATCTATCTACTAAAACATTACACATATCAAATTAGGTTTTCTTGATTCTATTTATCTACTAAATACAAGTAAGAAATATGCAGTATGCAATGTCAAAACTTGGCCTTGTTTACTCGCATTGTACAATATTTTTAGGCATTATATATAAAATAGGAGCTCCTGGTTTTATTTAAGGAATATTCGAAGTTCAAAATCAACATTCTTAATCAAAGCATTGAATATGACAATGCAGTTGGTTTCTCATTGTTATGTGAGTTTTTCATGCGATGTAAAGCAGTAAAGGTAAGAGATGCTTAGACAGACCGACTATCGTGAATCTAAACAAAATGACAGCTAAGAATTCAAATGATCCCAACTTCGCTGCATGTGGGGCGGGAGAGGAGCAAAGAGCTTTATGTTTTCAACTTCTGAGAAAGTGCCATCTGAAGCTTGTTGTTGCAAAGCCTGAGATATGTTGGGCAAAACCATCTCTCTGCAGTGCAGATGAAGATGAGGAGGCTGCTGCCTATCAGACTCGCTGCCATTCCTCATATTGAAGCCAAGAGGGCCCCCCTTCTGCTCGGGAAGATATTGCTTATTCAAATTCCTATGAGCTTGCCACCCGTATCTATAATCCCCAAGTATCGGCGTTCCCAGTACTTCAGCGCAGTGAACCCGCAGCTTCAATAACAATTACAGCCAGTGTTCACAACATTATTTCATGCATGCTGTGTGTGTGTGTGTGTGCGTTGGCAGAATATATAACAAAGTATTTGTGTATTAAAACATACCTGGTGCTTTCTGCCAGTAAGAGGAGATAGCTCTAACCATGTAAAGCCTGCAGACTTTTTCATTGTGTTATCAAGAAGATTTACAGATTTGTGATGGCTTAAGCGAACACAGACAAGCAAAAACACAGCATGTACCAAAAATCTAACCCTTATCAGAAGTTTCAATGACTCGATACTCTGTCACAGCACATTGTGCTGATTGTGCACGGCCATCATCCATTACGGTAATACGGTCAGATTTCCCATTATCCACCATCACCTGAAAAGGAATGGAGAAAAAAATATGAAAACAGTTTCTGAAAGCTTTGTAGTAATGTAACACGAAGTAGAGCTGGAAAAAATTTATTCAACTTGTTTTTTCCTTGGACCCGACTCAAAAGTCCTGGATTGTAAAGAAAGATTTTGTAAATCGAACCCGAACATGACAAAACCCTAACTAACCCCTAACAACAGATCGAATCTGACTGACCCAAACCCGAGACCGGGGTGACTGACTGGCTAAGGTAAGGTGTTTACAAAATCGTTACTTTAGTATGATTACTATGATATATAAAGTGAAAATAATCATTCTATCATATTATAATTATTATAATTATTATTATTATTTATTCCATTCCATTGTATAAATTTATCTTTTCTAACTAGTTTTAAATAATATTATATTGGCATCTTACATTTTAAAAATAATAGGAAATAAAAGTATAAAAATAAAAACAGTTGATATTTTTAAAAAAAATTACATCTGCAAAGCGATTGAGAAGAAAGAAACTAGAGGAGAAAAGAGAGGAGGTTTGAGAAGATTACGGGAGGAAACGTTGGAGTAGAAGAAGCAAAGAAGTTAGAACAGAATACCTGTGAGGAGATGATTCGGTGAAGAAGAAGGACCCAGGTTTTTTACAAGATTGAGGTGAGGGTGCAATATGCGACCCGGCATGAATGTGATTTTTTTGAATAAAACAAACCTAGCACTTCTTTGAGACATTTGACTGACCGAAGGCGCAATGAAGGGCGCTCTTTAGGAAATCACTGTGCCCAGACACGCCTCACACATGCTTTTGAAAACCAAACCCCACGTGGCCGACATGTTTTCCAGCTCTATACACAAGTGACACACAGCAGAATACAAAATGAGGAATTGGAAACTACCAAAGGGAGTTGACTGTTCAAGTTTCACTTCCCTGGACAATGGGAAAATTAGGGGGTGTTTGGATACGATTTTGGAAGCTAACTTTAGTCCTCCAAAAAGGACTTTGAATTAAATCACTTTTTGATTTGTGGATGGCATCTGAGAATAATCAACAAATTGGGAGGAACATGCTTGACGCTTCTTCAAAACTGACTCTATGGTTGCTCCTGAAATGACTTCTAACAATGTGAGGGACAACTCTGGAGACAGCAGATGGATTTGGATTGGATGAATGGAATTATGAAGTGTCATTACCATACACTGCTATTTTCAGCCATCTTATTGAATCACTAACAGTTCAGATTTGTCCTTACTTCCTACAGGACATGGTTCTCACGTGGTCCAATCTATATACATACATACACACATACAAACACTCATGTGTAAGTGTGAGTTTTCTTTTCAAACACACTATTTGACTATATCCTTTATTTATCAGTTAATTTCTTGCAAACAATCTCAATGCCAAGCACTTAGAAGTTAGAACAGAATAACTTTCTCTTAACACAAGAAATTCTAATACTAAAAATTGGCAAACATTACTTAAGTAAGAAATATCTAGGGTGTGCACTCACCTTTCCCAGAGGCACTGAAATTATTCCTCCAGCACGTCTAGGACAACCAATTACAAGAGCCCAATACTTCTTTTGCAAATTTCTTTTTGTACGCTCAGCATCCTTTTAAAGTTGAAAACGGGACCATGTTAGAAAGAAGATATGAAACAGATGTTTTCAGATGCTTCTTATTCAGATAGGAAAATGGCAAAACCCATACATCACTAGATGCTTCAAATGTCTTCTCCCGGAAGATGGCATGCAAAACCGTCGCACTCAATTGGGTTCTTCCCATCACCAATATCCCACTACAATCTCTATCTAGTCTGTGTACCTAGAAATAAGCTTGGCCACAACAACATACACACAAATATGAGATTTATGCTCGAAAGAGACAATAGCAACCAGCTTGGCCACAACAAATTATGCACAAATATGAGAATAATGCTCAAAAGAGACATATATGATCAGGAAGCAAAAGCCAAATACATGATGGGGGTGATGCAAATTTTAACACACAAACCTTAACCATATCATATATATATACAGTAAAATATGAGACAAACCACTTTTAGCATACCAAACGAGGGGGCTCTGGATAGCCATATCTCATATATTTTGCAGCCAATTCATCTAAACTTCTTTTTATGCCTACACCACCCTGTACAAGTGATACAACAGAGCATTGGCTTTAACAATTGTAATTTGTAAAACTTATAATTTAAAGTGAGTAATTGAAGTTCATAAGTTACCTGAACAGGCATCCCAGGCGGTTTATTTACAACAAGAATAGATGGGTCCTGAAATATGATGAGGTGAAAAGAATAAGATAATTATGGGAGTAAAGGTTTTGCTTCATTCCCCTTGGCTTCAAGAATTAATGGCATTTAGCTTTTCACTTTCATTTATAGAGGGTAGTAGTGACTAATTATCCACCATACATTCCACACCTTGTACAATTCAATACTTTGAAAGAACTCTCTTTGCTCTTCACTGCAAAAGTGCTCGACTTTCTTTTCAGCAGGAAACTTTCCAACAGTTATAGGAAGAACTATTTGATCCCCTATGTGCATCGGCTCCTTAGCATTCACCTTCAATAAGCATGACATATCACTCACACAAACACAAATAATTATCAACTATAAACATCACTTCAAGGTAAATGAATAGGTGAACATTACAAGAAGTTGTATTTGTATAAAAGGAAAGAAAATCAATCTAAAGAGCCAATAGGTTCCATCTTACCCTCTTGCATTGAGGTTGTTGATCAGGAGAGGATAACCTTCTAACCTGCCGCAAAAGTACCACTAATGGTTATTAGATTCTCCTTTGGGAAACAGAAGACATTCCTCTTAGAAATGTATTATTATAGTATCTGTTTGACAATCTCAGAAATCTTAACTCGTATCCAACCCCATACATACATACATACATACATACATACATACATACATACATACATACATACATACATACATACATACATACATACATACATACATACATACATACATACATACATACATACATACCTACATACATACATACCTACATACATACATACATACATACATACATACATACAT